AGCCGCGGCTGCTTTCCTACCCACCCGCACAACGCCAAAGACTCCCAGGAAAAAGAACTCCTAGCAGCTTTGCAAACCTCCCCTTGCTCACTTGCCCTGCACAGGTGATGTTTTCTGGCAGCCAACAGAAATCTCATCGAGCTGTTTTTCAATCTCCTTCCGCCGTGTGGTCGGAGACCAGCCGCGGAGTCGCCCTCCCGGGGCTGCTGCTCTGCTTTAAGGGTATAAAAACCTCTCTCCAAACGATCTGGTTTGATGGCCTTGGGCTAAGAGAAGTTACAAAATAAAATTGCTTTTCTTTTTACGCTTTGGCCAAACAACTAGAAGTTCAGCCCTTCCCCACCTGCTTCCTATGACCACCCCCCCCTCCAAAAAAAAATTCAGAGAGGAGCCGGCTCCTGCCTCACCCCCCGCTTCCCCACTGCTGTTTCAGCGACAGCGAGGAGCAGGAGAGCACCAAGGAGGACAACTTCGCCCACCTGAATTTCCACCTGAAGTACGAAGCCGACCTTCTCTTCACCAGGTGTGCCTTTTGGAAGGGGGGGGGGGAACCACGGCTTGCAGGGTGTCCTTTGGGGAAACCAGCGCCGGCCCCATGGGAGCTGCATTCACACAGAGCCCAGTGCAAACGGAGCTTTAATTTGGGGAATTTGTTTAGAAAAAGGGGCTGAAGGAACCATAAAATCAGGGGCATCCCGCCCGGTGAGTCCTTGCAAATATCAACAGCAAGGAGCAAGGAGGTGCTGCGCTTTTACAATGTTTAAATGCACAAGTCTTATTAAATAGGCGTGAGGGCAAATTTATTTATTTTTTTTTAAGGGGAAAAAGTACTTATTGTAGGTAATAATGTTCATAACGTGTTACTAGGCAGTGTCTGGGCTGGTAGCCATCCCACTAACAAAATCGTCTCACCAGAAGCTCAGCTGAGGGATGTGTCTGGAAGGGTTTGGGCATCAACAGTAACTAAGGCAGCGAGCGTCCTCCCTCCAAGGGGAGCGGGGAGCTAAGGCACAGATGATAATTTATTAACCTGATTATAAGGGGAAAAAAAAAAAAAAAACAAAAAAAAAAAACATGGGCCCCAGAAGCACATTCCCTGGCACCGCTTGCTGTAATTCTTAGCAGATTTTTGAGACCTTCAGTCATTTTATTTTTCTTTCACACTAGAGGCAGTGGGGCAGTGAAAATAAAACCACTTGAATACAATTTATGGGGAGTGGAGGGGATTCTCAATTTAACAAATATCAGAATTGCCCTTACAGGAGAAGGGAGAACTTGGAGGACAAGTGACAGCACAAAAAAAATTCAAATTTGGGCACCTTGGGGGGGGGAAAAGGGGGACGTAATTTCCAAGAGTTTTGGGGGGTTCTGGGCCACGTGCCCCACGTCATGACACCAGCGAGCATGCATCCTGTCGTGGTCACCCATCGGATGCTCCTGGCTCCTTCCCCTCCTCTCCAGCTGCGAAACAGGGACGTGATTTACCCCCCCTCTGATTTATGCATGACATTCAAACTCCGACCAGAGCCTTGGCTGTCTCTGTTGTATTAAAAAGGCGAGAAAAATTCTACAAAGAAAGGGAAAATACTGCAGAAGCAGAATAGCATGAAAAACACCCGGGTTTTTTTGCACGAGGTAGAGGCAGGCAATGGTTTCCATCCGAAAAGGGGCAAGTCCCTCTCCTGGGGGATTCTGCCTGCGGAGGGGCTGGGGCTGCCCAGCCTGGTGCTGGGGGCGGCTGGGCACGGGGCTGCTTCACGCTCTCGTTGCTCCGAGCTCACCTTGTGACTTGTCATCCTTGGTCACGACAGGGCATCTAGCCTGGACTACTATGAAATCAGGTCAAACAGCTCCCTGGAGAGATACGACAGCATCGGCCCCCCCTTTCATTGCACCTTCAAGGTAAGGAGAGGGTTTAAACTGGCTGAGGGACCCTGCCAAGTGCTGTCCCAGGGGTGGGATGTGCCATGGTCACCCTGCTTGTCCCCGTCCCATGGGACACCAGCAACCCCCAGGCGCATCCCTGTCTTCTGCCCTTGCAGCTGCAGAACCTGGGCTTCTTCCCGGTGGAAGGGGTGACCATCAAGCTCACCGTCCCCGTGGCCACCCGGGCAGGCAACCGCCTCCTGCTCCTGACTGAATTCCTGGTGGACCAGGTAGGAGGGGGTTTCATCCCAATTAAGCTCATGTGGGTCCCTTCTGCGCCAGGGGTGGGGATGGAGACACCCCAAGGGCAGGGGGGCACCCCAGCCTTTTGCAAAGCCCCCCCTCATTCTCACACCTGCACGGACGGCCTTGGCTCATGCCCGGGCTTCTCACTTTTGCAGTCGCTTGGCTGGAAAGATGGAAAATGGTAGCGGCCAAAGGGTTTAGTCCAAATACTTCTCCGAGCTAGACCTCCCTCCAGTACGCAATGAATTCTTGAGGGTCTTGAAAGCATTAGGTGTGCCTGGGGCGAACGGAGGGCTTGAGCACCCACAGAAGGGGTGAGAGGGCTGGGCGCAGACCCCAGGGCATCCCAAGCCTCCCGCTGCCCCTGCAGCCGGGCGGGACTCACGAGCTGGTGAGATGGAAAGAGCACGGAGCAGGAGACAGACGGCGTGTTTATGGATGGATTTGGCCTCGATGGGGGCATTTTGTGTTGCAGCTCTGGCAAAGTGCCCGTGCCAGCCCAGCACACGTGGCTGGCATCCTGGATGGAGTGCTCCGCCAGGCGGATTTTGCTGGGGAGAGGCACAAAACAGGAATTCCTTAAAGTAGGATGCGAGACTCCTTTTGGGCCAGGCTCTTCTCCAGCCCCGTGCTGCAGCGATGGCAGCCACATCCTGCAGCAGCACCAGCAAAGCCAAGAGGGGTACCGGGGTCCCCTCTGCTTCCACCAGGATGGGTGCTGAGCACGGGGTAGGATGCAGGGAGGTGGCTACCGTGGTCACCATCCACACGCTTGGAGCCCATCGTCTTCTCCCACAGGAGAACACAACCTGCAACATCTGGGGAAACACCACCGACTACCAGCGGACGCCTGCCGAGGAGGACCTCTCCCGCACCCCCCACCTGGTACGCACCTTCGTGGGCCTGATCCTGGCCCCGGGCTGAGCTCTCCCGCCCCAGGCAGCCACCAAACCAGAGAGAAAGCCCCCAGGATGGGGATGCCCCATGGCCACGGGGGAGGACGGGTGCGTGGGCCCCTCTGGCAGGGTTTGGCTCTCGCTCCCCTCGCCGTGTGCCAGGGGAGAAGCCCAGAGGGTTTTTCTCCCCTTCTCAGCAGCGATGCTCCCACAGCCCAAACTTCTCCCCTTGCAGAACCACAGCAACTCTGACGTCGTTTCCATCGACTGTGATGTGAAATTAGCCCCCAACGAGGAGATGAACTTGCACTTGCGTGGCAATCTGTGGATGAAGTCTCTGAAAGCAGTAAGTCCTCCCAAAGCACACGTGTGGCTTTTGAGGAGAAGTCCCCAAAAGGAGCCCTTGCACCACAAAACCATGATTTAGTTGGGGGGTTCGCTCCCCCCCTGCAATTACCTTCCCTCCCAGGAAACCCAGGCATGTGTGGGGTGAGTTTTGTTTTCAAAGCCCACTTACTCTATTGGTGTGTGCATCCAACATCCCACACAGCACCACATTGTGGGGAATTTAATCCCAAGCAGTCCTTTTTTGCTGTAATTTAACCACACTCCCTGCTTGACCTGCCTCATCCTTCCCCACGGGTGCAGCACACAGTATCCCCAGCTTGGATGTAAAGCCAGTGGGGGGGGGACAAAGCCAGAGGGGGCACCCGGTTGGGGTGCTGGGTCCTCACCCATGTCTGATGCTCATGTCTAGCATCTCTTTGCGCAGCTGAAGTTCAAGTCACTGAAGCTCACCACGAACGCCGCTCTCCAGCGACGCTTTGGGAGCCCCTTCATCTTCCGCGAGGAGGACCCCAGCCGTCAGGTGAGCCCCCGGGCAGGACAGTCACACATGAACCCAGCAGCTTCGGGGATGCTGCAAAACCCTGCTCTGACCCCAGCAGGAAAACCCCTGCGGCCGGCAGATGGGCTGGAGTGATCCATGCCCCGCAGAGCCCGGGGCAGCTCAGTGCAGCTGTGGTCGGAGCCAGGCAGTTCAGGTCCAGGCAACACCGGACTGAGCAGGGAAAACCTGAGCCAAATCCCTGCTGCGTGGGGTGGGCATCCTCCCAAAGGGAAGGGATGCTCAGCATCCCCACCATCATGCCCTGTGTGTCCCCCTCCGCCCACCCAGCTCTCGCTCCCAGTAACAGCAGCGGGTTTTGATGCTCTTTCCTTGCAGATAACGTTTGAAATCTCCAAGCCGGAGGAGTCGCAGGTCCCCATCTGGATCATCCTGGGGAGCACTTTAGGAGGGCTCCTGCTCCTGGCCCTGCTCGTCCTCGTGCTCTGGAAGGTGAGCAGCCCTTGAGCCATGCGCGTTGGAGGTGGCTTGATGGAAACCCCCATGTGTGGAGGGACCCCCCCGACCCCCCCGCTCCACGCGTCCCTCGGCACCG